CAAAATTAGAATTGTGCTTTTCACTGAGAATTTAAGCACAAATCAAACATTTCAAAGTCATTACTAATCCTGCAATAATTTAATTTTAGACATTATTCAGGGCTCAACAAAGATCACAAATATGTGAAAACAACGCAGCATGTTTCAACTTCAACAGCTACAGCAAATGACTAAAACAGCCAGAGAGTGACGAAGAGGCAGCACAGAGCAACGTTAAGGAAATTGATTTGTGACATTTAAATCTGATCCAGGACCATTTGTGTCTGACGTGATGCATCTAAAATAGATTATAACCCCTAATCCTAACGCACGGTGGTGACAGACAATTAGAAGTGAAAACAGAAAGCAAATATTAAACGATAATGTAGACATAAAAGTGACAGCAGTAATAATGAGCAGGCAGGGTGATGGATGGTCAAGATGAGAGCACCATAAGACGGAGCAGAAATGGCTTTAATAAATGTAGAGCTTATAAATGCACTAATGGACTTCTACACAATGTGAAAAAGGAAACCGTTGCAATCTGCTTAATATTCTGCCACCACGGTGGTTTCTGTTGCTGAAACACTTAGAGGTCAAGAACATAGGTCCAAAGACCATTTCTGCAGAACTATAAAAACAAGTGTTCACATGAACATGATGTTTTACTGGTATTCTTAACTGGTCTCTTACCCAAAGCAAGGTACTTCTACTGAGGGAAGAGTTATTCCTGCTGCCTACTGAACCCAATGGTTTCACCCTGGACTGAGAAAAGGTCAGAACAGACTTGACCGGACGTACCGGTAGTTCTCCTGCTGCTCCAAACAAACGTGTAGTTGGTGCCATCAGCACCACATTTAGCTTTCTGTATCAGCATCGTCACAGACTGAAAAACACGCACTAGGTGGTTTTTTTACTTTAAAGCGTTTCAACTCAACCCAGCCACACATTTTAGGTCAATAATGAGTGTCCAATTTTAATCGTTGGTCAGCACAGTGAATAGTGGAAAGTCTTGGGTTCAGTCCCGGGCTGGGCCTGGGGTCTTTCTGGGTGGAGTTTGTATGGTCTCCCCGTGCTGCGTGGGTTTCTCCAGGTGCTCCAGCTTCCTCTCACAGTGCATGTTGGGCTGCCTTCAGACCCAGGCCTCAACAGAGATCTGATCTCACTGGGACTGGTCTGCATAAATTTATTTTATTCTTTCAGCTGCTCCTTTTTCGGGGGTCGCCACAGTGAACTAAGTCGTACGAAGACTTGGAAATTATTTTTACGCCGGATGTCCTTCCTGACAACCACAGACCACCGAGCTACTAGGGGTGTAACAATACATCGAATACGCTTTTATTTTGAAATTCCTAAGGCATTTCCGTGCACGGCTGTGCTCTGCGGCCGCCTCAGCAGCATGGCAGACGAGGCAGAAAACAATGAAATTCACTCTCGTGCTGGATTTAAATCACCTCTGTGGAGATATTTTAGATTCCAGCAGCAGGACGTCTCAACAGACAGAACTCATGTCGTGTGCAACAACAGGTGCCAGTGGGAGTTCAATACTCGGGAAACAGCACATTTGTTCGTTCACCTGAAGAAGAGACATGGCATTGATAGCCATGGGGAAAATGAGTGTGGAGGCAGGTGTGGGAGCTTCACGTTTCCCTTCCACCCACATTTTGATGTTGGGGAGTTGAACCAGCAACCTTCCGATCAAAGGCTTGCCAAGGTTAATAAATGATAATCGTAACATCAGAATTATATCAGAGCGTTTGGGATTTGGTTTCCTTTTTACACACCGAGCTCAGTCAGTCAGGGTAAACAGTGTCTCGACTAGGAGGACGCTGTCCAGTGGTTCTCCACAAGGTAGTGGTGTATCCATGCTGTTCCAACAAGAGTCCGCACACTGATGGACATTTCCTGAAGTTCGTTGATGACACAGTTGTAGTCAGCCTGCTGAAGGATGTGGATGTCCATCAAGTAAGCTGGAACAGATAAATACCTAAAGAACTAGACGTGGAAATGTTACTTTAGAGATTAAAAAAACACCCTCCTCATCCTCAGTCAGCAGTGAAGATGGTCAAGTCTTAGAAAGTATCTTGAGACAATGATTGACAAGAAACTGACCCATGACCAGAATGTTGCCAAGACTTGCGAGAAGACGGATAGTATTTTTAAAAATATAAGAAAATATGAACAAAGTCCATGCTCAATAATCCAGGATTACAATCCAACATTTTTCAGTCAGGTCATCTGGACAGTTTCTTTTTTTGTGCTGAAACGTTTCACCTTCGGTCCAGAAGGCTTCATCAGTCGAGGAAACCAGATGTCCAGAAGACCGGATAAGAAAATATAAGTCTGCTCAGAAAAACAGTATTTTCAGAACAGCTCTTTTATTCTCATTAGGTCTGTTTTAACATTCAGGTGGCACGGTGGCTCAGCTAGTAGAGCTGCTGCCTCTCAGCAAGCAGGTCGCTAGATTAAATCCCAGTCTGGGGCCTTTCTGGTGGAGTTTTCTCCAGGTACTCCAGTTTCCTCCCACAGACCAAAAACATGCATGTTAGGCTGATTGGTAACTCTGAATTGTCTCTAGGTGAGAGAGAGACAGTGAATGGTTGTTTGCCTCGTTTGTCTCCATGTGTCCCTGTGATGGACTGGAGACTTGACCAGGGTGTCCCCCACCTCACACAAAGTGACTGCCGGATATGGACACCAGTGGCACCAGTGACCCCTGCGACCCGAAAAGGAAGAAGCGGGTAAAGATGATGGATGGACGGATGTCTTGGTTGTGTTTGTACAACCACTGAAAGACCAAGCTGCACATATGAAGGACAAACAAAACGAACCTGGACAGTTTCAGTCCACTGTGACGTGACTGTGTGTTACTGGATACAGCACGGGCAGCACACATCCAATCACTAAAACATTTTCGTGCACGTATGTAACTACAAGCACTCAGAGCTGGCCACCTGCAACGGAGCCACCCAAGACTAGAACGTTAAGATAACTATAAACTCTGTTTTTGTTGTTTTTAATTCATAAACAACAAAAATGATCACGTAACAGAGTTATGCATTAGAAAATATATGTATTTTTTATTTCATAAATCAGAATTGAATTGGGACCCCCCCCCAAAATAAATAATTTGATGGTAAATCTCTAATCCCATCATTAAAGCTTAAACTACTGAACAGGAAGAGGAAGTCCTGGATTTGAGGCTGAAGAACTCCTCCCATCACTCAGTAATGCGTTACAGCAAAACACCGTTTGTTCTTTTTATAGGAAGCGACTCCGTTTTATGAGTTCTACTTCTGTAGAAAAATTAACCAAGACGAACAGCTACTAAAACTTTACCTGGTCATTTCCTCCGTCTATCTGGTTACTTATAGAAATATTCAATTTTATTAGAATACTGCAAAGAATGAGGTTTCTTTGAAACTTTCATCTCTTCAATCAAATGCTACAAAGCAGGGAAGTAAGAAGAGATTATTAGTTAGAGGCTGGCATTGTAGCTCAATGCTCAAAACTAAACAAACAGCAAGAGACGTCAAGATGCTCAACTGTTTTCACTAGCTTTCTATTCTGAAGGAGACTGATGTGGTGCAAATGGAGTCAAAATGAAAATTAAATATGTGGATGAAACTACAAACTAAAAAAACTGAACAGATTAAATTTCTCACTGTATGAAAATACTGTTATAAATGGAAATGCCCAAAACACTACCCTCGTTTATCACGGGTGTTTGGGACCACGCCCACCCACGATAAGTGAAAAACCACGAAGTAGAGATACAGCAGTCCAAGTCCAAGTTGAGTTCAAGTTCAGTAAACGTCGTCATGACATG